GGGGGGGGGGGGGGGGGCAAGATGAGCAAGTCATTTCTTTAGCACGGCCCGAAAGGGTGCAAGAGTCATCTCTTGATCGCTGCTGCAGGAATTGGCGAAGTGGCACGCTAACACTAGTTGGAGAAGCCACCGGTGGAAGTCTCGTGAAAAGTTGGGTTGTGGCTAAGCAGCAAACAGGGCACTGGTGCTTCGTTCTGACGTCGTCTTGGCACCGCGTTCAGAACCCACGTGCTGGTCGTGAAGCGCAAACTTCACGCAGGTGTTGTCTGCAGCCGTCAGCAACATTGGTCAGTTCACGATTCCTGGATTTAGTTTATTATGAAAGCATGTTCCGGCATTGCATGCATTGCTCGAGCGACGGTTTTGCACTCATAAGGTGCGAGCAGGCGGCTTGTCTGCTGCACTGAAGACGGAAAGTGTGCGTTCGCCTGTGGAAGCCGTTGGAGTCACAAGTATGGGCATGCAGCATGCAATGTGGTGCATTGTTCAAGAGTCATCTCGGTAAGATCATCTCACATGGATGTTCACAAATCTTGTAGGCGACTTTTGTTCTCAAAGCATCGAAGGCCGCGAATGCATATCAGCTGGAGGGCATGGCGGAGCACCAGGGTTGTGCATTCAGGTTTGTTCTTGTTAGTTCTGCTTAAGCAAGTGCTTCCCTTTCACTCAGCGGTGCTGCTTGTACCGATTTTCTCATGGCTCCACCTATTCGGATAGTTTCGGCATGTTGCCGCCGCAGTGTCTTGCAGTAGCCCCTGGACAAGAGGAGCTTGGCTGGTTGCCAAAATGCTTCACCCGTCGATCGCGCTCGGCTCTGAGATGCAAACATTTGTCAGTTTGCCCGTCAGTTTGTTACAATTGACACCCTTACTGCTCGTCGCGATTTCGGCTCAAGATCTGCACTCAATACGGTCTTCGCACGGTCCACCCTAAGTCAGGACTCACGTCCGAGGAGATTCGGACTGGCTACGCAGCTTGGATTGAGCGTCGGGGGGCAAGTCACAGATTCCGTGGGCCGAAGTATCAGTTCAAGCAACTAAGGTATTTGAACCTGCAGCCTTGCCCATGGTGCAGCTGCCTCAACAACACTTGAACCCTGCAGTCGGGGCAAGCTACGGCAGCGCCGCAGGCATACCGAACTCAGTTCAGCCAGCTGTCGTTACTGGATTATTGACGAGCGTGCATTCTGACCTGCAACACAGAGAACTCCATCTACCACCAGTCCCTCACATTGGCATTCCTTCGTCCAGAACTGATAAATAAAACCAGTTCCACCTCGTCCCTGATCACAGAGTCTGTAGAGCCAAATTTTCTTACGAGTCTTGCGCTCGTACCTTGCAGTTCTGCTCTCAAGATTAGTTTCAGCTTGTTGCGTCAAGACGATGCTTATTAGCATGTGCGGGGTTTAGCCGCCAGCCCACGTCTCAACCAAGTCGATCTCTGTGTTTATTTGTCCGTTCGCGGTGCGTGTGTCTGTGTTTGCGTGTTTGCTTGTTTATTTGTGTCGGTGAGTGGCCGGCCTCATGGTAGTCAGTGTTAGTGTGCGTGTGTGGTTGTTTCTTTAACTTCTCCCTCTCTTTTTCCATCAGTCTGTGTCGTGTGTTTGGTGATGCTTGGTGGCGAGATGTGGTCTTGCAGCAAACCGTCGCGACAGTCAAAGCACATTCCGTACAGTTCTGGCTTCACGTGAGTGTACCAGACAGTTGCTCGCAACCGCGAGCACTGTTGACTAATGACCAGCAGGTTTGCCAGGTTCCGACGGACGCTTGGCCCAATTCTCATCAGCAACTAGACTGCCGGCTGCACATGAGACGAAATCGACGACAAAAATGCCAGACTTATGCGACTGCGTCGCCACATTGGTGTGTTACGGCAACCACGTGCTTCTAACTTTTAAGAACACTTGCACATCATTGCTGATTTGCTGGTTGACCTCGTGGCAGGCATGTCAGAACAAGACTTCAGCAAAGAGTGTGCGTATCGCAGAGTAGTGAGGTTGCGTCTCGTCTGGGTCGACGAACTTGCCCGATGAGCGGGGGCGCAGTCAGGGGCTCTGCCGCATGTCACTGCAGATGTGCATCTTGCAGAGCCCAAGTCATGCAGAGAGCCGGGTGAAGCTCGAAACCTTCTACCGCTGCCTTGTTAGATGTGTATCCATTCGTGTGGCTGAGATTTCTTCTTCCCACTGGAGCCTTTCTGGTTTTTGGGCCATGTGAGCCCATCTTTGTACGAGCTGCTTGGGTCTACAACTGGTTTGTCGTTTCGAGAGATTCTGAGAGAGGTGACACGAGCACCTCGCCAGGGGAAGTCCCTGCTTTTCAGCTTGTTAGAATGACATGTTTCTTGCAGCGTTCGGTCTTGACGACTGCGGATCGGTGCTCTCCCTGCGCATCAACTGACACTGCATCCACAGCCTGCCCGTATGTTTCAGGTTCGTGCCACGTCATCTGCGAATCATCCAGAGCAACCAGTCGTGAAATTAAACACGCACTGCGCAGGTGCGTGAGTGAGCAGATTAGGCTGGATGACGGAGAGGTCCGTGCAGCAGTTCTTAGTTGGCTTCATCCAGCTTCGGCGAACAGATACAATCATCTACAGATGTATGCATGTTGGAGGGTTCGATCGTTTTCGCTCGGTCCCCAGTTCCATCGGATTCAGGCTTGCCACATCTTGTGCTCTTGGCGGGCACTACCACAAATGTGGCTCGGCAGGGCATCCTTGAGCCTTTGAGCCTGACCATGTTGCTACTGGTTTTTATCTGCGTTGCCCAGACAGCAGAGGGACAGGGGCTTCGAAAATGACCATAAAGAGTCAGTTACTTCTAAAGTTTCCTCCTTTCCGCGCACAGGCAAAGCAATCAGATATCAGAGTACAGTCTTTGACTCTGTGGCAGCCCTGTCCAAGGCAGTGCTCATTGGCAGAGTTTTAGAAGACTGCAGACATTGGAGCCGCTTGGTGTGGCTGTGTCGCTTAAGACCGAGCAAACACAAGCACCAGCAATTGTTGACAGCCTTAAGCAGCCGTGGCTTGGATGGCCTTTGCCCTTCTTTCACATGCTGCCGTCCTTGCGCAGTTAGATCGGAGAAGGTGTACAGCGCAATGCCGTGTATGCATCGATATCATGCGGAGGCCATCGCAACACGGCCTACCTGGCAGTCTTGGCCACATCAGGGGTATTCTCTCTGCATAGCGCTGCCCTTACGGCTTTGGTCAGCTGACGAATCGGTGCATTTTGGAACACAGCGAGGTGAGGCAACGCTTTGTCTTCGCAAAAGCCAGCTATTCGTGTGGAGGTTCTAGGATTGCAGGGCGTTCTTCAAGCTGGGCCGGTCTCGGAGTGCAGCAAGTCACAGGGTGCAAGGACCTGATGCGTCCATTGCTTGTGAGAGTTGTAGCCTCATGTGAGGACTAGTGAGGCGACCGGGACACAACCCTATGACTTGAAATGGCTTGAGCGACCTCCAGCACGGGGTGATTATGGGTGATTGGGTGACACAAGCCAAGAACAGGGAAAGAGAAGAGAGCTCAACTCAACCCGTTTCGATGTGGGAACCTGTTTCATGCTCGCTAATTTCTTGTTGCACATACGAGATCAGAAAAAGAGATGCGCACGAGCGAGAGTTGTTGGTCAAGGGAGCCCTTGAGGCTTGTGGCGACTCGTTTGTCAAATGGCTCAGTATCGCGGCTCGGCAATGCAATGGCATGCCTTGTATTGGGCCACTGCGAGTTTGACCACGTCAGGCTATGACCTGCAGCAAAGATCCGCGCAGATTCAGCTGTTCAAAGATAATTTGGCCAGGCAGCAGTGGGCTGAAATTCCAAGTGGACTGCTAGCGGTCTTGGAAGTCTTGGAATGGGCCTGTGATACCATGTCCTGCAAGTGCCTCGGACACATACGACTTATGCCAATTTCGGAGCTGTCATCTCGACATCTCCACAGGATCAGGATACTGTACTTCTCATGCTGGGGTGGGCTGCTTTGCTGAACACTGCATCCAGAAACCGCTACAATCTGCTGATGTCGCGCACTGCCGACTCAATGGAGCTTGTCAGGCCTCAGCAAGGTTGACTCTGCCTAACAGGGTCTTGAGTGCCAGCGTGGAATGTGTTGCGGCTGTCGTGTTCCCAGCTGAATGACCTGATGTCTGCATAATTACTTTTGTGCCTGCATGAGCGGCAGGGATGCACTTGTAATCGCAGCTGCACTGTGCTCTTCGTTGTTGATTGGTGTGGCATGGTGTTGCACAGGCAGTTTCAGCTGCTGGCCAATGAGTTGGAGGCCTCGAGTTGACAGGCATGCTCGACTCACCTGGTTTGAGAGTGCGAAAAAGGACCTCCTCGCGCGATCCACAGAGACGGAGGTTGGCCTTGCAGAGCGGAGCCTCGATGCAGACGCTTGTCTTCCAAGCTCGGCCTGGCCCGTTGCAAGTGCTTTTGAGCTTCTCGAGGACCCTGTGCCGATGTAAGGAAAGGCGGGATCTGTCCAGGTTCCTGAAGAACATTGGACCGAAGCTGGCCGACGAGATGCTCAGAAGCAAAGGAAGTTTTGATGGGGACATGGGGGACCAACTTGCACCTGAGGTCCTGCAGGTGTTCATGTGGAACAGTGGTTTGGGGGCGAGGAGAATTTGGTGCCACATTGAAGTCTTTGACCATGGATTGTCATGTCGGGATGTGCCGCAAGTCGAGGCCACCCCCGCCCTTCCTGGAGCACTTCCGTCAGTTTCTCTCCCTTTGGCTTCAGATGCTTGCAGAATGTGCAGCTGACGCCCGGCAAGGCCATTACATGCTTAAATAGCCCGCGTAGCCGTTTCGAAAAAAGTGTGGTGAGAGAGTTGCTCCATGGAGCTGCCCGGACATGACCATTCCAACCAACCTTTTTCACACCAGCATGTCACTGTTGCGGCGGTATACAGCCACTCGAACTTGGTGCAACATTTGACGGCTTAGGACGCAGGAAAATCTAAAAAGACCTCTGAATGCAGGAGCAAACCAACACCATTGACAACCTGTGCACAGCATTGCGATGCTCTAACGTTCTGTTGTTTGCTGCTTCAGCGGCTCATCTCAGGACCCCGTGGCTCAACCATACAGCGTGATCGGCGAGGTCCGTGTCATGCACCCGAGGATCTTTGTTGGAGCTGCAGGGAGTTAGGACTATTGCAATAATTCCGTAGTTACTGGTAGGAAGATGACTGGCGGAGCTACCTGGAGTTCAGTAAAGCATATGAGAGATAATAGAAACTGTGGCGCGATGAATGTCACGGAGCTTCACGAGTTCTTGCATCGTTCGTTCCACTGAATCTGCTCATACAGTACAAATGAAGCTCTCTCGCAACGCAATTTTTGCAATGTAGATCGGCACGAGTTGACTGTGACAGGTTGAGTTCAACTCCTTCGACAGATCCTCCGAGCTCGCCGTGCGCCTGAGTGAGCAGCTGAAGGCGACTTCGAAGAATAGTCATGTCTATGACACAGGCACGCATACACAACTATATTGAGAGTTGTTCTAAACCCCCGGCTCTTTACCGTAGACTAACAGCGCACTTCAATATTTGGATTCATGTTTGGGACCTAGTAAAAACACGACGCCGCGCAAGGGCGAGCGCAAGTTCGGCGCAAGGTGATACTACTACTACTGCTACTACTACTACTACTACTACTGCTACTGCTACCGCTACCGCTACCGCTACTGCTACCGCTACCGCTACCGCCACCGCTACCGCTACCGCTCCTGCTCCTGCTCCTGCTCCTGCTCCTGCTCCTGCTGCTGCTGCTGCTGCTGCTACTGCTACTGCTACTGCTACTGCTACTACTACTACTACCACCACCACTACTTGTACTACTACCTGTATTCAGCACAGATTCGAAAACAGCCAAAATCAGTTTTACAGAGGGATCAGCGCGCAAGCCGCGCGCAAGGGCGGCTCAAGGGGAACACTCCAAGTTCGACCAATGCCCCATTCCTCTTGCGTGACAGTTGTTTGAAACCCCACCCAAGTTCCCTGCACGAAAACTTCAAACTGGATTCTGGACTTGCTATTTTCTGGCTGGTCTATCAAGGCTACAAGGTGGGAATGTGGTTAAAACCCTGTGCGCGCAAGGCGATTTTCGAGTTACGGGCTGCAACCATAATAAAGAACAACCCCCATATATATATATACATTATATATATATATACATTATACATATATATACATTATATATATATATATATTTATTTATTTATTTATTTATGTGTGTCTGTCTGTCCGTCTGTCTGTCTGTCTATCTGTCCATTCTGTGTATCTATGTATGTATGTGTGTGTATGTTTGTATGTATGTAACCATGAATGTATGTATATACATATATACACATATACATACACACACCCAATATGTGTGTGTGTGTATATATATATATATATATTTGGTACAACCCCCCGTCCTCGCCCCCCGCCCCCCAGTTATCCACCGCTTTTGCTGTGATTCCTGTGTGTCCTGCCCTTCCGGCCGTTTTTACAAGGGAATTCCGTTTGCTGCTGCCCAAGTCTTGTTCCTTTTGAATCCGTTCCCTCTCTTTATCTGAATCTTGTCCCTTTGTCAGCTGCAGGCGGGCCGGCTTGAAATTCAAGCCGGTTTCAAGCTATTTCAAGCCGGTCCACCGAAGATTGAAGATGCACAGGAAAGTCTTGCCGGCTTCAAGCCATTTCAAGCCACCCACCCCCAAATCGAAGATTCGCCCCAAACTTTCCCAGGAATCTTCACTCTTCAATCTTCAGTGGAGCGGCTTGAAATTCAAGCCGGTTTCAAGTCATTTCAAGCCGCCCACCCCCAATCGAAGATACCAAAGTTTGGAGATATTCAATCTTCAATCTTATAGGTGAGCCGGCTAGAACTTCAAGTCGTCCCAAGCCTTGTACTAGTCTTTGCTGTTGTGTATTCCGCGATTGTATTTATCAAATTCCCTATTCTAGTACCCTAATTTCATTATTTCCAGTCTAACATGCCCTAAAACAATAGTCCAACCATCCACGATCTTATAGTAAACTCTTGTAGTGACCCTCAAGTATAGACAGAAACCCTTCCAGGTCGGACTCTTTAAGATCGAAGCTGTATGCGACCGCTAGTCTAGTCTAGTCATTAAAGAGCCTCTATACCCTAAACCCTAATCCTTAAGCCCCAAACCCTAAACCCATCTAAAGCGTAGCCATTTTGGCTCAAGGCCATATGGCTCGAGACTTCCAAGCTTGTCTTGAGACGTTCTGGGTTGGTGACTTTTGCCATGGATCCGGCGCCGCTTCGAAAGCTCATAGCAAACATCGCTTACGCTCGACGCTGTTCCAAGAAAGAGGGTCTCGCAGAGATTTCTCTGATGCTATCGCGAGTCTTGCATGCTGTCCGGGAGGAGATACAAAATCGAGAGGATGCAATGCGGGTGGAAGCGTGTACCCAAACAATGGAGACCGGCACACAGACTGAGACAATTCAGTTAATGGATGCTGAGGGCTACACGTCGTGTTGCAGCGAGGATGGTGAGTTCCATGGGGTACCCACCACCGAGGAAACGCAGCTCCTGAATTGCGATCGAGATATGCGAAATGCGGGTTTGGATGATCAGAGGAGTGTGCAGCTAGCAACGCAATCTCGTGACCGCTCCGTCGGAGAACTGCCACCACAACAGCAAGGCAGCTCGTGGAAGAAGAGTTGGCCGATGAGTGACGAGCAGTTGGATTTCTTTTGTCAGAAAATCCAAGATCTGAGTGAGCCGTTGACTGTGGCTGCGATGGATGAGCTGCTTGTTTTAATGCGTGGCAAGTTGCACGCCCTGCGACAGTTGAAGCACGAAGCGTCGGGTGAGTCTGAAGCGTCCGATTTGGATCATCAACAGTCCAACTGTAAAGCTCTCATGGCACTGTTGTTGGGTCGCCGCAAAGACTGTATAGGGGCTGTCACATGACATCACTGGGGCGGTTGAATTCTGTCGGTGGCTACAATGCTGGCTGCCTCTGCTGGTCCCACATGCGCATTGAGACCTCGCCTGGCAGAGTCCGAGTTGCGAGAGCGTAAACCCATCTAAAGCCTGAAGCCAAAACCAGGGTTTGCAGATCCGGAGGCTAACAGCTTTGCGGTTTGTCACCTCAGGATGTAAGGGTTGTTTCGGGTGTAGGGTTCAGGGTTTAGGGTTAGTTGAGGTTTGCCCTAAACCCTGGACCCCAAGCCGAGATGGGCCCTTTCGCAAGATCAGACTGTAGGTTTGGTGTTGGAATGATTGTTGGAGGGTTCCGCCCTTATGGCACCCGTGCATCTTGCTCATGTAGACATTGCAGGACTCCAAGCAAGCCGGAACTGCTCAATCGACTTGGGGTGTAGGGTTTAGGGTTATCTGTTATCTATCATGTAGGATGTTCGTGCTGAGCATGGGGTTAAGGGCTCAAGGTTTAAAGTGTTCGGAATTTGTGGGTCATCGTATGCTTAGGCTATCATGAGTTTTGCCAGATCCAAGAAGAGAACTCGATACGTTTTTGCAGGGGTCCATGCACCGACAAAAAGGCTTTGGTGGGGAATCTATATGGGTTCTATCAGGGTTCTTTATGGGATTTATCAGGGTTCTACAGTGGATTTCGAGGGGCTTCGGTAGAGATCTGTAAGGGTTCTATAAACGATTTCTAAGGCTTCTAGAAACTTATAGCCCATCTAGTGTATATTTTGGATGTAAAAGGGTTGCTGAAAAGCAACTTTAGAGCTAGTGCATGTCGATACATGTAACTGGACCTTCAAAGTGTATAGGAGTTTCAGAAGGGCAGCGGCCTCAATATAGAAGCTTCAAGTAGTAGGATCCTTATCATAAGGCCCCTTAAAAGGGGCGCTTGCCTTTCAAGAAACCTCCAATTAATTCTACGGAGGCGTCTCACCATTAAAAAAGTGCGCCTACCGTGAGGACCCTTTCGATCGTAATTCTTGAAACAATGAAGGCTACTGTCAATTCTTACCTGAAAGCCTTGGTCTTTGGGGGGCCGGGGTGGTAGGGTAGCATATCCCCCCCCCTTCAACGACCAAGGTTCCTTTATAAATTTTGCTTGAATTAAAAGCTAATGTGTTGAGAAGACCGGAAGTGCTGTAAAACACAGGACGTCGTGCGTTTGGGTAGCCCTGGATTTGCTCGTGCGCGGGGTCAAAGCAATGACACAGAAGCAGTGAAACTAGTTACTAGTTTTAGTGGCGTGGCGATGCGCAGGAGAACATGATCTGTATATTACATTAGATCTCACGTGTTTCCTTGCATACGTACATACATACATAAAACATATATATTTGTATGTATGTATATATATATATGTATGTACACGTACTCGATACAGATATATATCATTTATAAGATACCATTGCTTTGACACGTGTCTTGAAGCTCTACTACACACAGTTTCCCTTCGGACTCTGCAGAGGCCCTGTTTGAACTCTACAGAGGAAATCTTTTGGCGAGTGCACTCATTGGATTCTGTTGCGCTGGAGTGACAATCTGAGATTTTTATCTTTGATGATCCTGGGAAGTGTGTGGCTGTCTGCCCCAGCAAGAGCGCTGGTTCGTTTGCGTCCACGAGCGCCAACCATCGCACGGTTCGGGTTCAGGAACATGTGTGCTCCAATCCACCCCCCCCACCCAACCAAGCTCCCACGATCAAATAAAGGCGTGTACTATACTACTACTGCTACGACGACGACGACTATTACTACACGAAGCACATATGGACCCTGTCAGAGCCCGTGACACAAACGTGTTTGCAAAATACGGGCCCCACCCAATCCGCTTCTTTTTGAAGCCAACCTCCGCCTCAATCTAAGATATATGAAGAACCGGAATCGCCAAATGAGGGGGTGTGTTTAAGGTATATATGATGAGCCGGAATCGCCAAATGAGAGGGCTAGTTTAAAGACATGTTAAACTATGTATGTATATATATATATGATGAAGCGGAACCGAGGCATGTTTCAGATATATGATGAAACGGAATCGCCACATGAGACTGGGTGTGTAAGATATATGATGGACCGGAACCGCCATCGCAAGCCCCCCAAGAGCTTTCTGCCGCACAGCACCAAATGAGCGGGCGTGTTTAAGATATATGCTGACCCGGAATCGGCAAATGAGGTGGCGTGTTTAAACTATATGATGAACATAAACAGCTGGAAACATATTCGCGTGTGAACATCCGAAAGAAGATGAAGCAAGCAACAAAGTTTTGACATCGGCTCAAGCTTCTTCAGAATCGCAATTGCTGGAATTTCCAACCTCGGCTTCAGCAGCTTCTGAATAAGGCTCGCGCAGCGAGCATGCTGCGTAAATACATGGGATACGGGGACCAGATTTGCACTGCGTGCTGTAAATAACAGAATGCGGAGAGCTAGGCAAAGTGTGAAGAAAAGTATGAGTAACGTGAGTTTAAAGGAGAATTTCCACTTGGCCATAGTTGTGAATGCTCTGGAACAGGAAAAACAAAGAAATCTGAATTAGTTCTCGAACCTTGTTTTTTCACCTAAAGCCGTGCAGCAGGTTTTGTTTCAGTGAAGAATGTAAATGCATGCGGGAGTTTGCTTTTTATTACCAGCCAAGGGATCGATCACAGCAGCATCTGCAACCCGATGAAAACATGAAGGGCTTCCCGCGTTCCCTTCGCATTCCCACAAGTATAACGATCGTGAATCTCTTCTGTTGATTATTGCCAAGAGATAGAGACGCTGCTGTTGAAAGATAAAAAAGTAAGACGACAGGGGATCAGGCGTAGATCTTGGGAGGGGGGGGGGGCGAACATATAAATATATACATATACATGTGCGTGTGCTCAAGAAACTTTTTTTTGCCTGTCTGTCTATGTGCCTACGTATATCTGACTACACGTGTGCTGATCCTGAGGCATGCACTGTTTGAGAAAATGTCATCGTTTGCACCGAGCCGTGAGATGAGGCGAAGGAGATTCGTTTCATCAGTGATCACACCGAAGATTGCCAGAAGGCAGTACCAGTACGGGAAAAGGCACTTGCAACTAGGTCAGCAGCTGCTTTGCTTGCAAGTTGTTTCAGGGAGTGCTGTCCATGAAGATGGCATGGAAGAAGATGAGACACCTGCAACAAAAAGCCTTGAAGTGGACTGGCTTGAAGCGCATCTTGGCTTTGAGTGCTCACTTGCTTACATCCTGTAGTCAGTAGTCGTCAACGCAGAGAGTGTCAAGTCTCCCCCCTGTCGCGGGCGTGGCGTTGAAGATCTAGTATGATCTAGTGCCTGAAGAAACCACCCTCCAGCCATGAAGCATGAATTGAGTGAAGTTTCTTTCGCTGAGTTCAGTGCAACGTTCCGCTTGCATTGAAGAAAATCGGAAACAGCCGAGCTCAAGTTTCACAAAGATGGGGATTATTGCTTGAGGGTTTAGTTTGGAGGGCCCGAGCACGTCGTTGTTTTCGTGTTCTGGCAGTGTTTTGTTCGTTGTCGACTCGATTTCCCGGCTTCGAGGATTTGCGAAGACCCAGCCGGATGAGGAAGAAGGTGATCTGCACAAAGCGGAGGCGTGGCACTCGCTAGGTAGAGCATCTGCATGCACAGGAGTTATTGTGGCATGTGCCACGTTGAGCCACACCAACAGACTAGCAAAGCACAGCCAGTGCTGAAGCTGCTAGAGACGCCTTTGGTTGCATTGCAGGGGATTCATGCAACCATGTGGGTCAGAGAGAAGCGCAAAGAGAAGATCTACCCGACAAAAACGAAAGGCTCTCGTTACACAAATTGCGCCAGCGGGTGAGGCCAAAAAGAAGTTCTGCAAAGCTTCAAGGTCACCTTGGATGTTCCTCTATCCGCTGAAGTTTAGGATTCAGGAAGCCTGTAGCACCCTACAGGTGCCCAAAGTTTGCCTTCCGTCGCGATACAGTTTAACTGTGCAGGGGGTTGCTGGAGTTGGGGCCTCGGCTGAAAGGCAAAGCGAGGTGGGCCACATTGGAAGCCCCAAAGCACGAACATCGGTGCACCGACTAGGCGGTCACTTGTTTGCAAGTTTGCGTGGTTTTGCTTTCTGTCTTTGCTGCTTTCTCTTGTTTACCCGTTGCTCTGACCTATTTGCCTGTCACATTCTGCTTCCCGTGTACCGTTTTGGCTTTTTGATTGTTTCCTTCTGCCCTCATTTTCACGCAGCCTGCAGAGGCGTAGTGTTTCGTTCTGGGTTTTGGGTGGAAGGCTCTCTCAAATGCACGTCATGGGTTTCGACACAGGCTCGAGCGTCAAACTATCGAAAGTGGTGTCCTTTGATCCTCAAACCCTGCAAGTTGCAGACAGAAGCACCAGCACATGCACTAAAGACCACGAGGGCTAGAAACTGGGCCCTTGCGACGTACGCGAGCCTGGAACTTGCGCGCCACACAGAACGGAGACGAGGGCGCTGTTTGACACAGAGACACATTTCCCTGTCGAAGTTTTGACGAAAACGTGGCAGAAGGTGGACACAAGGGGGGGGAGCTCGAGGCGCACCTCTTACTCCGAAGGCACAGCGCGCGGACGGATAATTGCTGCCAGAGGGTGCAGCAGTAAACTACCGTTTCTTGCACCGCAGGTAGGAGAGATTTGTCACTGAAGTAAGAGGTGCGATGTTGCACATTGAGCTTTTGCATCGTGATTGTAGGCCATCTGCGAACTGCCAGCACGCCGTATCCCTTCGTCAGTGGAGCTATACTGGTTCAAGTTCCAGATTCTTGGAAGAAAAGGCTGCATCAACCGATGAGCTTCAGTATGAGCTAGTGTCAAGTCAGCTTGGTCGGTTGATCCAACCCTCGACCAGGCATGCAGGACATCCTCCACTCGCCGTGCCAAACTAGCTACTAGTAGTACCCAAATCGGAGCGCCAAACCAACTTATGCAGACTTCCTGTCGCAGTTTTCGCCTCAGCAGTCTAGCAGTCAAGCGAAACATTCTGCAACAGTTCATAATGTCGCGACTCAATGCAAACGTAATGAGGCTTGGAGCTGGATGTGGCTTCGACATGAACGAAGACAGCTACCCCTTGCGCATACGTTGATGCTTGACTGAGAGAGTGAGAATCAAGGGGCAGAGCAAGGCCGAAGAACAACAGGCGGAATATGCAAAGAAGGGTATGTCTCATTCGTGACGCAAAGAAGGAGCTAGGCAGAGCTGCTGTTCAGGTCTGGCTTTTGTTTGCGTCATCCTCTCGCCGGAGCATCTCGCGTTCATGCTCAGCTTTCTTCTCGGCCTTGGGCTGCTACTAGTGAATGCCTTCCTTCTCAGCATCCAGTCTCAAAAAAGCAGAGGCAGAGGCCATTTTTTTCTAGACCAGCCTAGCCCTCCTAGCCCCACGGAGCAGCAAGTGGCTCCATCCAAGGCAGCCCTTCACAAGCACATTGCTCAGACAGACACTGGATCGTGTCGCTGCTTACATGTGCGCTAAGTGTCGTAGTTAAGAACTTCTGACATGCTTCGATGCTGAGGTCGTCACGATGTCGATAGCCGTGACAAACTGTTGCACTGCCTTTGTTCTGTACGATTTTCTGGACATCGACACCCTGCAGCGCCTGGAACAGCAGGCCGTGGAAATGAAGGCGCCTTTCCTGTCCTGTTCCTGATTTCCTTGCGTCTTCGGACATTTGACCCATGAGATGTTGAGCATTTCTAAAGCAGGCCGCCGCCCAACAAGCCGAGGAGCGACGCAAGATCTTGCAGGCACTTCGTTGGGGAAAGGTTTCAGTTGAAAGAGTGCCTCGGTCGGCAGGCCTTCTTTGCGAGAATGCAGCTGCTAGTGTCTCTTTGGCAAATGAGAACTTTGCCGCGACTGGCTTTGAGACCGTGGTCGCAAGAAGTGATGCGAGCCGACAGCAATTGAGCAACACGACAACTGTTCGATCGATGCCTGCATCAGGATGAAGAGGCTAGGTGTGGCTTTGGAGGACGCAGCACAAGAAGGCCTTACGGTCTGCAAGGGCTGCTTTTGCTAGCTTCCGTGTTTTACACTGTTCCGAGACCTCAGGCGGAATCTCACCTTTGCTGGTAGCTGCTCGGTGCGTCAGTGCGTGTGTCAGTAAGCAGCACCGGGTGTGAGAGTCAAAGACCCTGCTTGGTGTGCATGCTGCATACCCCCTTGTCCTTTTGTCAGACGAGGATGCCGTCGCTAGTCTCGACGCGCTTGAAAGCGCTTTACTGCCGTTGCACTTCTGGCAAGACGAGGGCAAGCTGAGCCGCCAGGCTGCACGGTGCTCTAAGACGTGTAAGAGGTGCTAGTTGATCTTTCTGAGACATGTCCGACCCATGCAACTTTCTCCACAAGCCGCTAGAAGATGATTGAAATCAGAAATGGGTAGCATGCCTGACCCGGCCGGTTTTGCAGAATTTCTGGAGCCCCCAACATTCATGTTCTCTTGATGTCCAGGTATGATGCTTTGTGCAAAGCATGCCTACTGCATCAAGCGAGTAGTCATCCAGGAATTAAGCTCTGCCGCTAAGGCATCGAGGACAAGGAAGAAGTACAGCGCTTGATGCAGTCAGCCGTTGCGGAGAGCAGCATTAAGGAGCGACTGTACTAGGAGTGCTTGTTGTGAGGTAGTCTATTGTAGTCTGCTTTCTACAGATTCTGCAAACTTGTGGTTGCGATTTTCGTACACAAGACTTCGAGCTGTTGGCTGTCAGACAAGAGTACTCATGATGCCGGTTCTGGGTCCTGTCCCGATTCCCAAGTCCTGCCTGCGACAACCACCCGGGGCCCAGCTTGCTTGCTCTGCGCGAATGCCCGCTACAGGCTCGCAGTGGACCACATAAACTCGCTGAGAAACACTTATTCGCCCAGCTGTCGTGCATTTCAACCGAACGGAACCCAGACATGTAACTCTTGGAGCTTGGTGGCCAAGACCATATACAACAAAGGGATCAGTAAGGATATGTGAGGATCAGAACGCGGGATAACACGGAATCTCAACGAACTATTCCCCAACCATTATGGTAAGATTATAGGTCATGGCGCAAGGGCTTGGGCTCCGCAGTCTCCTTGGCGTGGTCTCGAAATCTCGCCGTTCTAAAGGAAGGTGGAATGTTCCGAAGTTGGCAATCTTGCTTCTGCCTCCTCCCGGCATTCTCGTCTTCCCGACACTCCTGCTCGCTTTTGCCTCCCGAAACCGTGCTCATGCCACAGTGTGGTGGTCTCTTCAGCAAGAAGTGCAGTGATCTCCAGCTGACGCCATGTGTCGTGTCTGCACGGTAACCCTGTAGCAGGTCAGCAGAGCATCCATGAGACTCGTCAGCATAATCAGCGGGGCAAGCCGCAGTAGTTTGTGCCAGGTGAAAGACCTGCCACCCGGACCCTGCAGCTTCTGAGTTTACCCTGCGCTGCGTGTTTTCCTCGAGTCTTCGATGTTTGTGGCTTCTTGTGTGGGTGGTGTAACTTTCCTCTTTGTGTTGGTTTTGCTTGCAAACTATGTGTGTGTTTTTGTTGCGGCTTTTTGTACTGCGGAACCGAGCATCCTTTCGCGAAGGATGACGTCCACGTTGCTGATGCATACTGTGGGACTGCAAATCCATGCGTGAAGGATGACAACGTATATGAGTATATGGCGTCCATGGTTCCGGTGTGTACTTAGCATCCATGCCCAAAGGATGATAGCATGGATGTTCCCAGTGCATATTGTGCGTACTGTAGGACCATTCATCCATGCCTGATCAAAACGTCCATGTTCCCAGCGCATTCTGCGGAACCGAATGTGACCGAGTAACCATGCCCAAAGGATCAGAACAAAGGACGGCTTCTGTACAGGCATACGAAGCTCTTCCTGGAATTTCAGAGATCTTGCGAATTAGCCTTCAAAGCAACAGCACAAAGATAGATAGATAGATAGGTAGGTAGCTGGCTTACATACCCTGACTGGGCTATTTTCTGTAGTATAGCCTGGTGGTGTCGGAGAACCTTTGTGGTGCGCGGGCATCGCGGACCAAACTCGTGGTGGTTGTCGAGTCTTGTAGAGGGGCGGTTCTGTCACTGTTGGCTCGCTGCAGCTGGAGGAAATGCTGGATAAGTTGCCCGACGTGGTCACAGGACTGGCGCATCGCATGAAGCGAGTGCTGCTAGAAGATGGTGCATGAGGAGAAAAGGGTGCGACAGCAGCTTGTTGGCCGACAACGCTTCCCATGGCAGGTATTTCCGTACACTGTGCGCAAATGCCAGCTGAGGCCACAATACGCCTTATGTTGGTTTGGCGACGGGGTTCCGGCCTGAGAAATTTCCAATGCAAGTACCGCCGCGGGGGCTTTTCAGAATAGAGTCTGGGATGACCTCAGGCTCATCATCATCCTGGCTCTCAGCACTTCGGACTTCATTTCAATCGTGGAGACTTGGCACAATTGCTGGCCGGCTGGGAAGATCATCTGATAATTAATTTCTCTGGATCCACGGACTTTTGCGAACGCCTCGATCACTATGAGAGAATCGGTAACTGTTCGCTTCTTCACAGCAAGCGGTTCTTTGAACGCTCGGCCCTCTTTGTGTCTCTCGCGCTTCTCTCGCTCTCTCTCTCTCTCTCTCTCTCTCTCTCTCTCGCTCTCTTTCTCCTTTACTCTCACTCATGAGGACTCCTTAAGTGGCCAACATGCACCTGCAAGCAGGGCAAAAATTGCGTAATTACAGCATGCACTCACCACCGAAGCCAGAAAACTCATGCACCCACTGCCAGCCATGACGACAGGTTTTTCTTGCATTGTAGAACTACCCCTGCCACCCATGAACGGCTTTGTTGCTTTCAACTGCGAATTTCCTTTCCGAGGACTTGTTGAATGGCAGCTCGGCCGCAGCTTCGAACACAGAATCCAGGAAATTCAATCGTCCCAACCTGCCAAGCTGCGTGAGCAAAGTTGCGCGATTTGTCTCAAGACTTGACAGATGTTTTCCCCAGCTCCTTGTTGGCAATGGCGCCGGATGTCCGAGGCCCTTCGTTTGGACTGGGTCCTAGTTTTCAAATTTGTTGGCTGGGGGGGGGGGTGGGCGGGGAGGCCCACCAGCAGCGGCGGGAGTCGCGAACCATGCCGCCTGCATGGTTCACTAACCCGAGACTGGCAAGGGGCGTGGTAGATTCTTGTTAGTCTTGGTCATAGCGGGTTAGGGGAGGTTAGGGTTGGGGTCAGGTTGGCGTACATTAGATTAGGTTAGGGTAGGTAGGGGGGATATGTCGTGAACTGCGAAGTGGGTCTTGGTTCACTGAAAGGGCGGTTGCAGTTCACCGAATTCGGTTCACTCAAACTGCTGTTGCGCTTTCTATTCTAGACGGCCCTAAGCCCTTGAAAAGCCTTGTGGTATGTATGTCAAAGGTTTGATGTCTACGGTTGTTGGATGCTGATGCGTCTGATGAAGAGGCAACTAATTCTTGCATAGTCGCTCGGTTTAAAAGCGATGAGGGATTTACCGAAGCCTGTCGAACATCTCTCCGACCCAGACACTGTTGAACGTTGGCAGCAACTTCTGGGTTTCAATCGCTTTTGAGTATTTCGGAGGATGAGGGACAAACATGGCTGATTAGTTTTGGGTGCAGACTTGAGCAAGGAATTGCGAATCAACTTGTTCAGTTGACTTTTGCTTTTTCTGGTATGCGACAGCTTATTGGGAAGATGGGTCAGGGTCAGAAGCAGGATTTTCAAACAGCATGCAACGGGAGTCTACCAGGTTGCCACTCCGGTGCAGAATGTGGATGTCTGTCACCTTTTAAGATGATGCATTGAGATCGTTAGTGGAGGAAGAAGCGTGCGGAGCTGGAGCGCGAACAGTTCCGATGTCACGCATGGTCCTCTCGTACGACTAGGGCCGCTCATGCTCCTCTCAGCTTCCTTCCGTTTCAGCGAGAGTACTTTTGGATCAGTCACGGCGCTCATATGTGGATGAGCTGCAGTACATACTTTAACATTCAGACGCAACGGCGACATCGACCGCTTGTTTCCCACTGCTATGCAGGTTAAACCAGTTATACACTCGCCCACTACCGTTCCCCACGACTCGCCCCTACCACACAGCTCGATATCACACTGGCTCCTGAACCCGTGGAGATCGAGGGAGAATCGGGCAAAGGCAGGCCCCACCGAGTCACCCGAGTCACCCGAGTCTTCTTTAATTTTTACTCAATCCGTTTAAACCTGGCCTGAACCTCCCACACCCCCGACATCCCGGCACCACGGCCGTTTTTGCATCCGAAAAGGCGGCGCGGGTAATAAAGAGCACCGATCTCTTTTCCACCCTCCCTAACTGCCCCCCCGGTACTATCTATCTGCCTCCCCGTCTCACCAAGGTTTTCGCCCCCGCCCATCAGCAACCTTCACACATACTGTCATCCGAAAGCATCAGATGCATACTGGCAACAGGTGCGAAATTTCGCTCGTCAGGTACTATCCGTCCCGGTGATTGGAGGTTGAAGGTTTCCGCCTTTTAGATTCTATCCATCTATCTATTCCCTTTACCGGTCAGCAACCTTCGCCAGCAAGGTAGTATCGATCCGAGCTCCCCTCCACCCCATGTTTCAACTGTCTACTTTTGTGCGGTTTATCTATGTGTCTATCAATCTATCTGTGCCGGTCAGATACCTGCTGGTTACAGGTTCGAGGATTCCGCCGTCAGATGCTATCTGTCCATCCCTGCCCCCTTGCAGTCCCTATCCTATCCCTTCCGTCTGGCACATAGCGTTGTGTATGCGTCTATCTCATCTATCTATCTATCTATCTTTCTACCTATCTCTCTCTCTCTCTCTCCCTCCCTAGGTATCTATCTCCCACCTACACCCCGTCAGCTACTATCTATCCCAACCCCCAGCCCCCCTCCCCCCCCACCCCCACGCCATCCCCATGTTTTTCCTGGCTGTTTGCCTGCGTCTCCGTACATCTATCGACCTATCTACGTAATCATCTACCGATCTACTTACCTACCTACTACCTGCTTGCCTAATCTGTTTATCTATCTATCTCTCTCTCTCTCTCTCTATCTATCTATCTATCTGTTTGTGGGTGTACATATCCATCTATGTATCTATCTGTCTGTCTGTCTGTCTATCTATCTGTCTACCTGCTTATCTATCTATCTCATCTTTCTCAGTCCATCTATCCATCATATAACTATCTTTCTTTCCTTCTAACTATCTGACTATCTATCTATCTATCCATCTATCTATCTATGCATCCATGTAGATGTCCAAGTGCCTGTGTACCTATCTAACTATATATCTATCTGTCTACCTACCAACCTCGCCGGGATGCAGCCGTCAGGTACTATCTATCTATCTATCCGCCCGCCCGGTGGGGTCCCCACCCCTGTGCCGTTGCTTTTAACATGTTTTTAACGCTTTACGCGCCTGGCCGACTGTGAACCCGGGACCGGACCTTGCCGGACAATTGAACCGAGGATGTGCTGCACATTGACGGCAAATTCTTGTGGTATGCCTTTGCATCTTTGGTGTTCCGGCTCAGTACAGGAAGTTGTGAGTTTCATGGTTTTCGAGGTCAGTTTCGGGGCGGAGTTTCCGAACATGGTCCGGGCATCAGTTTCAGGCCGAGGCCTGCAAGAATCGGACCCCGCCCCCGAAACTGCATCCTGCTGTGCCGAAACTGGGCGATGAAGATATCCCTCTGTGACCCTGGCAGCCAATCCGAAACTAGAACCTCGAAACTATGGGGCACCCGCTCAGCACAGCCGGAACATTCGTTGTTATGCTCAAACGATTCAAGCTGTACGTACTCGTGCATACCGCAAGTTCCTTGAACATGCGGATGCAATGATGTGTCTGGCTGCAGCAAAGGGTTGTGCGGAGATCAATGACGAAGTACTGGCGCCTGGGGGAGGGGGGGGCGCCCGGCGAAAGCAACAAAGAGTCGAAAGCGAGAACTGCGATATCCGTGGCTGGCAGCGGGCATTCTCAGGCATCTACTGTCAAGCGCAGCTCCTGGAGTTCTTGGCCACTCAAACCGCATTAAGTATGGAATGCCAGTGATCGCAGGGATATGTTTTGTTCTCGGCTCTCGACTCAGTCTTTGTCCATGGACATTCGGTGCTGTGACACTGCACTCTTCCGTGACGAAGCATCCTACATGTTCCTGAGCGTAGAGCACCTTGCAGCCACTGCACGGCTCCGCAAGGCCTTCCTGCACTTGCGACGGGTCTCCCCGAACCTTCGGAGACCTTTCCGCGTGCCGCCGCTGGGCTCCAGTTGCAGGGCTTTGCTCTCCAGTGCTTCTGCAGGGCTTCATGAGTACGCACAAGCACGTTTGACGCGGGGCCATGCGCTTCCGCGGCACGGAGCAACTCCTTCGCACATCTTTGTCCCCATTCCAACAAAACCCGAGCACGCAACACTGGTGGGTTGCAGGTTACCAGGTGCATTGAAAAGACAGAGCATACCGGGGAGCACATAGGCGGAGTTTTTGCCAGGTTCAGAAGACCTGGTTTTTATTCATGCTGCCGCCGGTCTGAAGGAGAGGGGTTGGTGGCTGTGGCATCCAGGTTGGAGTCCATGATCGGCTGCATCGCGCTCCTGTTCTTGCCCATAGTGCGGCTTGCTCATGGAATGGGCATGGCAGTGAATAAAGGGTAGCTGCACAGAGACAACCTAGACGAGGGCCTGCATTGGACACCAACGATTGTGGAAGTATACAGCGCATAGGACTGCAGAATTGACACCAAGGTTTTGCCTTCTGCTTCTTGTCTTGCCGCTGGCAAAAGGCAATTGGAAACAGGTTTTCTGCCTTGTCGCCGTCCCAGTGCGCAGCTGAGTTTCTGCCCAAGCCAGTTGGTCTTTGCTGCCAAGAAAATGTGTTATTGGTGTTTACAGGTTCGTAAGAAGATAAGACAAGATTGAGTTTAGGTCGCGGGCCTCATCCTCCACGCCTTGCTTTCCCTGAGCCGTCGGAGAGGTTGGTTGAGCTTCACTCGTGTCCTGGCAGGGTTTGGGAAGGATTCTCGCAATCGAGTCTCGCAGGTGTTGCCCACATGCAGGAATGCATACAGAGGGTATTGATATATGTCGTGATTAGAAGGTTCATGATCAGGTCGACGACAGTGACAAACGAAAGCAAACTTAAGGAGGTTGCCACTTTGCTTGGCACAGCCTTTTGTGAGGTGAACCTCCACGCACCGTGGACGAACTTCTAGCAATGCAGACCCCCATGTCCACCTGCGCCCGGGCACATCATGAGGCCGGTGCTGCAAGTTCGACTGCGAGGGAAGAACAAAGGGATGAAAAGATGAGAGAATCGGAGAGGGGAGGGTAACAGAAATAGGGGAGGAGGAGGGGAAAGGGTTGTGAGCAATGGACGCTGTTGCGGCTTGGTGGGGGATCCAAAGTTGGGAGTCGGAGTCGGAGGCACATCCGATGATGTGGGTCAATACTGGCCCGGGCTTGATGCCAGTGCCGGCTCTTGTGCGAGCAATGCCGAAAATGGCGAGTAATTGACTCTAGCTTCAGCGCTGCTTTCCAACCTCTTAGAATTGATGAGAACGGCAAGAAATCGAAAATCCACAACCCTTGGCACGGTTCTGAAACTGTTGGATGTGTTGGTATTCGAAGGTGTTTTTGTTTCTTTAATTGTTTTATTTTGTCCCAGGAAGCCTAAAAAAAAACTCCTATGTCTACTTTTCTGCAACTCAAAATGTCCATGCATTTGCGAGGGCAAAATCCAAACAACACCAAAGCAAACAGAAAAATGTTAACCATTTGGCAACTCTGTCCGGAAGGTGATGTATGTTTGCTGTCGCTTTCTCTAACAAAAAAGATATGTGCTGGTGGTTTCGCTGCAACAACCCAGAAATGAAAAAACAGCTGTCGGCATCGGTCGCTGTAACCTGCATCAGCAGATCAGAGTAGTTGTAGAACTAGCAGTTGTAGTAGTAGCCGCCGTCGTCGTAGTAGTACTACCAGTAGCACAAGTACTAGCATTTGTACTAGTACTTGTACTAGTACTAGCAGTGGGAGTAGCAGGAACAGTAGCAGAAGCACCAGCAGCAGCAGTCGCAGTACGGTGGTAGTAGTAGTAGTAGTAGTAGTAGTAGTAGCAGCAGCAGCAGCAGTTGAGTGGCGGTAGTAGTGGCAACCGTCGTCGCAGTCGCCGTCGGGGTCGCGGCAGCAGCAGCAGCAGCAGCAGCAGGGGTAGTAGCAGTAGCAGTTGATCAGCTCAGAGCGCTTTAAGTTTCTATCTGCTGAGTAGCCGAACATTCAACCGCATACTGTTGTTGCAAGAAGAAGACATTCTGGAAGGGCGACGATAACAGAAGCGTTGTCTTCGTGCCAGCCCTTCCTCTCGGACACGTTCCACCTGCCTCCGGCGTCTGAGCACGACGAGCATCTGTAATGAGCTTGGATGCCTGGGCGAAGAAGTGGGCTAACTTGCAGAGCTGCCGACGTTGCTGTCACACAAGAAAGCAGATTGCCAGTAGCCACCTTCCTGGCAAATGCTTCGGTGGAAAAGTTTGGCTGCATCCGGATGCGGCATGATAAAGTCAAGGTGTTGTCTAACGCAAAAACCGCATTGCGGACAGGCCGCCTGTTTGGAAGTTGAGCGGGACAAGGCCAGAGCTCCTTTGCAGTCATCCATGGTAGTGACTGGTAGTGGTAGCGGTAGAGCAGCAGGAGTAGCATTAGCTTGTTGATGCTGCCTGACGACCAGAAGTTTCCCATGAACCACCAACTCCCCAAAAGCATTGGAATATATGCGGAATGCGCTTCACGTTCAGCGGAGGGGCGAACTCTTCCTGCTACGAGCCCACAAACGATCTCAAACGGTTACGGCTGGCAAAGCCTCAGCGCTTTGACCTGAAAGCCCCAAATTTTTTATTGAGCAATACTAATTAACCCCTGCTGAACAAATCCCGTGCTCGGCCAATAAACTAATGCCTTCTGCGCTTCGTGCCAGCTGGCGTGCGAGCCTTTCCCAATACCCCCTCTTATCATATTGGTCAGGCGTCTGGCGTTCCCAGCCCCCCCCTATGGGTCTGGTCGGAGCGGGTGGTTGGGTGGCGTGCTGCCGGGGGGCGGCAGGGGTCACAGAGAGGGCCGGGATCATACGTAATACTTTAAACCTTACACCCAACCCTAAGCCCCGCCCAAATGCAGGCTCTAAGCCTCTAAGCTTGAAGCAGAACATAAACCGTCACCCTAACCAACCTACACCCCAAAACCCTCTCTAAGCTCTTGTCGACTCGAGGCATTGTAACTTTTAACCTTTAACCCTAAACCCCAAACTCGTCGAAACCAAAAGCTCAAAAGCTTAAGCTAAACCCTAAACCCCAAAACCTCGCAAGAGGGACCCTACACCCCACCCAGCGGGGCGGGGGGGGGAATCCTGGACCATGGACCACGGGAGCTGCGGGAGCGGCCAGAAAACGGCCAGGCGTCTGGCGCTGCCGGTTTTTCCCATGGCCCCATGGCTGGCATCTGCAGAGGTCGGGGCTGTTGGAGCTGCTGCTGGGGCGGTCAGGGGTCACAGGAGGGCCGGGATGTTACGCAAGCCCGACGCACCTGTTTTTATTAACCTTAACCTGGACTTTAATGAAAGCCCTGCACCCAACCCGAAACTTCGCTTAAATGCAGTAAAGCAGGACATAGACCGTCAACCCTAACCAACCTACACCCCAAACCCTCCCACCCTCCCGAAGCCTTTGTCGACTCGAAGCCATCATGCCTTTAACCCTAAACCCAAGACACCACCACCCCACCGCGGGAAGAGGCCCACACCCCACACAGTACAACGGGGGGGTGGGGAGGGGCCAAGCGCCTGACCCTCTGCACACTGTCCGATTTTGGGATCTTGATGTTTTTGCGGCTGCGAGATTTTAAAAATTGCCATCAGCATGTGAATTGGTGGTTTAGGGTTTCGAAGATCGTAGTTGTTGCACACAAACCTGCTAGCGAGGGAGGCGCGTCAGAAATCGTGGGCTAACCCATACCCGAAACCACCCACCCACCTGGAGGCTCTCACAAGGGTGGGCACACGCAGACAAACCTATGCACCCACCCACCCCACCCACCCCATGCACCCACCCACCCACCCACCCCGCCACTCGCAGGAAGGGTGCAGCAGGTACTAGACCATTGGGGGGGTGGACGAGCAAGCACAATTCACATTCCCTCCGCAGGAGTGAGCATTGATGGGTACCTGGTACTTGCTCTCTGCGGTGGGGAAGCTGCAGACCTACGCTGCATATAGCCATAGCGCTTCAGGCCAGTTGTTTTTAAGCCTTGCTGCTCCGCTCGCGCTGTTGCTTCATGGCTTGGAAAACACTTCGTGAAACGATGCCCGGAAGAATCCGTCAGGATGCATCCATATGCTTCCGCTGACGAGCTTCTGAGACCAGCCGGTGGCGTGAGGGCAGAAGGAAAAAGCTCAGTGCAAGAGCATGGCTGTATGCTTGGAATGTCACATTTGACTTCTGCCAAGGCCTGGGGAAGCTCCAGAGGATCAGGGCGTGGAAGCCTTTGCAGAAGGACCGCGCATGCGCCCAAGACTACAGACTCGCAGCCGGGCTCTGGCAAATTAAGATCTTAGAGATGCTTTGGCAATTGATAGTCACCGGTAGTCAACCCGATCGGGGCCGGTGTGTTGGATCTTTTGGGTTTATCGTCACGGGGCAGTACTGCATAAGAAGGTTCGGTGAACGTGTTCGAATATATGCGGTGGTGGCAAGGAGGCAGACGTTTGCAGATGGGGCTTCAGAGCGACTGGCAAGAAGTAAGGAGATTTGAAGACTCAGAAGACAGAGCAGCTGTGCATTTCAATGGCAAGTTCCTAACACAACTTGCGTCGAGATGTGCTTGGCCTGCAATATGTTCAGTGCCGCAAAGCAGAAAGAGCCAACAGGAAAACCTGGGCCAATGCCCAACACGGTCTGTGTTTGCACCGTTCGTAGGCTCGGGATGTCAGACTCCTGAGGGCGCTGCAATTTGTGGCAGAGTCTTCAGGCGCTGGCCAGGCACTCGGAGAAGCAGATCTCTACTGCATGCCTTCGTAAGTTGGGAGCTTTTTCGCTTGTACTGTATATCATACAAGCCAATTCTGAACCCCAAGCAACCCCCAACCTTCGTGAACCACATTTTCGCAATATCGTCAAGCATTGGGATTTTTGAAAAAACTCTACTCTTCGTCCATAGGGTTCCAAGTTCCGCATGTTCCAGTCCTGCTTGATCTTTTGCCTTGTCCAGCAGAGTATGTCGGGCTGAGGTGTCTCCATGCACATCTCTGCGCGGCAGCTTGGGCTGCAGAAGCGTGAATGGATCGCTTGCAGGTTCTATGAAGTAAGTGCGAGTGAGTGCCAAGCAGAAGCCCTGGTTTTCGCGGACCAGCGTCTCCTGGCCAGATATCGGAGGCCTTCTGGAGCGACTGCGAGCCCGCTAACGTTCGCATGCCAGCGCCCCAGGGTGCATCACGGTGGTGCACGAAAGCTTCGTGAGTTTTCTGGAAAGGTACCACGCATCGTAACCTAGCAAGGCGGGAGGCAGAAACAGTAGAAGCTTGCAGCAGCGATCGCTGCCCTCGCAGCCTGAGGTGGCACTTGCGTGAATGTCAGATCGGAACGTGCGTCAGAGCTTTGCCGTTCGAAGCTGGTCAGGGACCTTCAAAACACTCACCTGGCCTGCTGGCACAGAGTGCCTCATCGCGGCACACACACACACAGAGCATAGACCGGCGGGAGCTTGAGCCGAACGAACGAAGGAGCAGCTGCTGTCGTCATACAACAGGTCTTGCTACATGGTTGGCTGAGGGGATGTCGCACTTGTGTAACCGGTTCGGCAAGAGCTCGTTTCTGATTATTCATTGGCGACCAGCCGCGCGATGAAGCATTGTACATAGGGCACAAGTCCCACGAGTCCGCGAGGCTTGGCTCTGCAGTACTCCTGCATCTTGAACTGTTGTTGCCAGCCTGTATAGTTTTTAATGTGCTTGAACTGGAGTATAATAATTGTGCCTGGCATGTTTGCAGACATTGACGGGTATTGTCTGCGTCTCAGCATTCCCGGCATTTGTAATGGAAGGCGGCACACCACATCATTGTACTCGGTAGTTTGCACGACGACGTAGACCTGTAAGCTGCAGCTCCAGTCTTTGAGCAGAGGCAAGCCTCCACGTGAATTTTTGCGGTCGGATGTTACTTTCCTCGCCACCTATGTAAGCATTTCAAAGCGCAGCTAGCCTTAAATTTGACTGCTCGAATTGTAAGAAAGGAGGACCGCGGAACAAAAATGCCTGTAGGTAGGTCACTGGCACTGTTGTCCGAGGCC